AATGCCTAACACCTTCTCCCGGGTTAACAGAGTTCCTTATCCGGATTTCTGGTACGCAGACTGTAATATGGAGTCATTCTTTTCCTCGATTCAGGATTAAAATTGGTGACTTGGGACACCCTAAATCTCCCAAGTGGCGACTCTGAAATAATTAAACCAATCCCGTTTCGATTGTCCTTTAATTGGAAAAAACTCCCTTGCACCCCATCGGGTGCGGAAAAAGGAGGTGTGACAACGATACCCGTCGAGTCAGAAGAAAAAACGCTCATGGGACGACCAAGACGGACGTAGTGTGAGAGAGCGTCAGGTCAAGTACATAGCAAAGATCCCATGATTATATATAGGGGAAAACAATCTTGTAAAAGGGGGGGCTTCTCGACTTCTTCCTCTCTCCCAAGTTCTCTCTTCTGTAATCTTCATAATAAAAAGAAGAACGAAGTATTCTTCAGAAAAACATGTAAAACAATCTCCCCCATTGATTAATGGGAGCCACAATGAAGAGTTTCAATAAGATTGATTGCCTTTATTTCATCTCATATACTGTTTTTTCGACTAACTCATTGATCTGGGATTTATTATGTGTTGCTTTTATTTTTAGTCTGATTCAAAAAGAATAATATCGACTCTACGCAAATGCGATGTAGTGAAAGATATTACCGATTATGTGGCCGTAAAATATCTGCCAGCAGCTAGCCAACTCTGCTTGTTAACGAGGTTAAGCCGTAGCTTCCGCCCACAACTTTTGATGATAATCGGAAATAGATAAAAACAGTTTATTAGTCTCTATCTCCATATTCCTTTTTATTCCATCCTCATCTTTAAAGCTTTTTTTCTTCCTTTTTCCCTCCTTATTTTCCAAAAGGGATAACCCTTAACTGGATCTATATCTTATTTTCATTTCATTTTCACGAGTGACAGATTCCATAAATGGACTTTCATGCTAATTGGAATCCTGCTGAGGTCGCACACTTAAAATAGGGCCACTTTGAATTCATGAAGTCACATTTGAACTAAAAAGATGAAATAATCGCTTGTAAATTGAAGTTACCTAATGGAAATTTTGAAGTGCAGGTGAAACACTATTTAACTTTTAAGTGAAATATTGAAATTTTGATTTGAAAGTTTATTTCGACTGAAGACTTTCAAATCTTCAACTTTCATAAAAGACATTTTAAAATGAAGCTCATGTCCAAACACATACATATTTAAAATTAATATACTCTTTATTTTTTTTATATCTTCAACTCAAATGCTGTACAATTGCAAATATGTAATCAAGTGGGTTGAAGAGAATTTAGCCATTGAATATCACATGGTAGTCAACACACTACATGACCCCAATTGGCCATTTTTATTTTTATAGATTCCTTTGTTCTTGTGGCACATGTGCTTGTGTAGCATCAACAGTTAACTGAATTAACCAACACAAAAATATACAAGGGATCACAAGTCACAACTTGAACCCACTAATGGAAACAAACTATACAACTTGCTCACTGCAAAATCTTGCAGCCTATATTTCCTCTCCCATTTCTATTGTTAAGTATCCATAACAGTAAGTCCCTCCCAAAAAGTTAAAAATTAAGTCATAACTAAAGAAAAAGTCAGCCAAAAAGAGAACATTTTTACACTTTGAGAGTATGGTCCTGGCTTTCAATAGATTCCTTCACAAGTTCAATGCTTTTTTGACTAAGAGTCCCATCTTCCTCAGCATCAAAACTAGCATGAACATACACTAGTACAGCAAGTCCTGAGAAGAATCCGAATCGAACATTCTAAGTAATGAAACCAGTTACAACTGGATCAATTTTAATTGCACATGGAACTGAATTATCTTCTGAGACCAGCAGATGTGACAAGCATTTAGGCAAAGCCAGACACTCTTCCTATGAGACCTGCTCGACATGAGGAATCTGCATGAAGAGAAACTCAAAAGATTTGCCTGATTTCTCGAACTCAAGCATGCTAAGAGCAACTTCACAACTTTGTGAAACAATAGGCTCAGGATCCTTGGCAAAATCCTCAAAAAGTGCAAGACATTCAGCATCTGCTATAGAACCAAGAGCTTCGGCTGCTTCATGTCTAACCATTGGATGCTCATTGACATCTTTAAGAGTCCTAGACAGGGCATCTGAAGCCTTTTTGTTCTGCAATTGACCCAATACATAAGCAACCTCATGCTTTAATAGAGCACTCCTTGAACCTAGAGATTCAATAATTGCACAGATAGCTTCCTCTCCACCATTATTTCGTAGTGCAAAAAGAGCAGCATAGCGTTCATACATGCCCTTTTCTTCACTCAAAAGAACTTCTCTTAGGTCCTCAACAGAGGAATAAGCAGCAGGAGCAGCTGGGTCTACTGACAGAAAGGGTGACGACACCACTGTTGAGGAACTGTCATCAGTTCCTACATTCTTCAGCTCTTTGATTCGACTGAGAGCCAGTTCACATGTCTCTCGGACCTCTTGAGCTGGATCTGAAGCCAAACTTCTTTCTAGAAGTAAAATATTACTTTCTAAACCAATTGCACCAAGTGCCTCTGCAGCCTCATGCCTAACAATGGGATGCAAGGAGAAATCAAATAGAACTCTTTCTAAAGCAGGAATGGCATCAGCATCTTGCATTTGCCCCAATGCGAATGCAGCCTCATGCGCCAAGAGATTTGAGGGGTCCCTTGTCGCATTAATAAGGGCATTTCGTGGACCTGAGCCCCGAAGGTTCCTTAGAGAGAAAAGAGCTCTAAAACGCTCTGAAATTTGTTGCTCTTGGTCCAGCAATCTGTCACATAGAAACTTCTCCATCTCCTGAGAGACTTTAAATGAATTTTTTGGATTATCATCTTGGTCCTCCACTCCAAGTATATTTTCAATCTCATCAACTCTGACCTCCATGTATATGCCTAAGCCGGAGATTGAAACTTCGCAGGAATAATGCTGTCACCCGGCCAAAATTTGGCAATTAGCCTTCAAGAGATTATGCACAGGCTCGGGTAGCAAATATTACTAACCAAGTTTGAATCTTTAACCTATTTCTTCATCACTTCGATACCAAAACTAACAGAATTATGAACCCTGCAATTGAAAAATGCATGTTCAGTACCAAAATGTAATGAAACTATGATTTTATATCTGTTGCATAACTAAGCCTGTGCATCTTTCCTGTTGGAAAGCAAAAGTATAGTGCTAATTTGCAATGCATTATCCAGTCAATTTTTATTATTTTAATTAAGGCCAATAATTATAAGTACATAAAAATCAGGATACTATATAAGATCATTGTGAATCAATTAATCTCAATGTACCAAATAAGAGCCAAGCATATCAATCAATCAACTATGCCTCAATTGCAAACAAAGATGGGGTCAACTATGACACACAAATCTTTACCCATGAAGCATATACAGCAAAAAAAATATCATCAATGAACAAGATATGGGTGGGTGTATTTACATAAACCAATAAAAATCAAGAAAAGAAATACGGAGAGGGAAAAGTCAAACTCAAAAAATCCTATCGAGGGTTTTACACATATCCTTGATAAACTTGTTGAAATACTTATGCAGTTTTTATAATGCTACACTTCAACCAAAGAGATCGAAAGGAGAATTTCCCTTTACAAGACACAACATGTAATACTTCCTCAGCCTAATGACATAGAACACTCCAACGGCTCGGATCCACATAAAATTTTCAAGTTCAAGCAAATCTTTAATAAACACATTAACTGCAGAGTTTACACACTTTTCCGTCTCAGTGCCCAAATATTCACAATGCGGATGCATAATCCAGATCTATATGGATCACATAGACCAGTTGTTTTAACAGTTCTAAGCTAAAGTTTTAATACTACAAGCAACATTCAACAATCTCAGTAATAATATGTTGAGTGCTACCATATAAGAAGCTACTAGCTAATCAACTAACCTCCTCCTATCCTCTTCAAATTACAAATCTATTAAACCAAAAATTCCTAAACGTATTCGTTTAATTATATTATACATCAAAGCCTTCAGTATTAGCCGAAAACAAAAAGAGAAACAGGCACACATAGAATACTATGAACGCACAACACAAACAAACATTCTCATTTTCTAAAATTTACTATATTTCTCTTACTTTAGGAATATCAAACAGTCTTTTAATCTAAAACAATATTAAAAAAATACATGAAAACTGAAATAGTTAGATCCACAAACAGATGAAGTTGGTAACTAGAATATATCCACTAAGCATTCCACATTGTGATCGAACGATATAGAAAGCGAGAAACTTACTTGAAAATTTGGAGCAGAGACGACTCGAGTGCGGCAAGTGAGCTATGTTATGCTTGCAGCGGGAAAAATATAAGACGCGGAGCTGAAGGGGTTTTAAAGTAAGGGTGTCTAACGGGCCGGGTTAACCCGGTTCTGGGCCGGCCCAGACCGGTAAAATCGGAACCGGCCCGAACCGGTAGAAGGGGGCCGGGTGGGGCTGGGTTAAGGGTGTAGGACGGTTTGCACCGTTTACTTTCGAACCACTGGTTACCCAGACCAGTCAAACCCGGTCAATGAACAGTGTTCTTCAACCGGTTAACCGGCTCGGCCCAGACCGATTTAACGGTTTTTTTTAAAAAACTGGGCCCATATTTCTGACCGTTGGCAACGGTCCATTTCAGAATATGGCCGTTGCCCAACGGCTGAATTGCACAAATAGCCCAATTTTGGATTTTAAAAAAAAATTGACCCCCCTTTAAAAAACTATAAATACCCCCTCTTCCTCATTTCTTCACCCATCTCTCAATTCTCAATCTCAATTCTCATATTCTCTCATTCTTCAATCTTCATTCTTCACCTATTAAAGTGCAATCAACTATTTGCCTTTTTTTTTGGGAATTTAATTTATCGTAGTATTTTTTATTTGAAGTTTGAACAATTGAACTTCAAAATTGGAACAATTGACGCTTCTTCGTGGTAACATTGGAGTTGCAAAATCATCAAGTGCTCAATTTATTGCCGAATTCGGTACACTCCTTCCAACTCTTTCTCTTATTTACTATTTTATTTGCATATTTATTTGTTGCTAGTAGTTAAATTTTACCAATATGTTTAATGCTGCAAAAAGAGTTTGTAACAAGGTTACTAATCGGGAAAATAAAAAAAGTGGTAGTGTTCAACTTCAACATCTGGTAGTAATTTAAATACCTCTCCAAATATTCCTGAAACATTACCTGATAATAATATAGATTATGAACAATTCCAGGAAGATTTTGGTATAGAAGATAATGAATTAGAAATGGAAGATGAGATACCACTTACACCTAGTAGTATTGGAGATGCTAGCAGGGGTGGTGGTCGTGGTGCTAGTAGTAGACCACCTGTGGCCCCGACTAGTAATCGTAGAAAAAAAAGTAAGGTTTGAAATTTTTTTGAAGACATACCAAATAGTGAAAGAGTTTAATGCAAATTTTGTAATGATACCTTTAAACATAAGACTAGAGGACAATTATGGGGGATTGAGACACTTAGTAGACATATGAGAATTGAGCATCCTATAGAATGGGGATCTGATGGAGATGGAAATCAGTCAACTCTAAACCTTACTACTCGAGGTCTTGTGAAATATGATAAAATGAAGGATCGTGAGGAGTTAGCAAAAATAGTTGTTTTGGGTTGTCTACCTTTTTCTTTTGCTTCTTATCATATCTTATTATGTATATTCAAAGGATTTACAATCCTTTATTTAAAGGTATCCCTAGAAGTACTTGTAGATCTGATATCTTTAGACTTCATGGACAATATCAAACATACATACGTTATTTGTTTAGCCACCTTCCTTGTAGAGTTTCTCTAACTTCTGATATTGGCCATGCTGTTAATGGAAATGATTATTTGACAATTACATGTCATTGGATAGATGATACTACTTGTATGCAAAAACGTATTATCGCTTTTAAATATGATGAAGATCAGAGTCATACTGCTGCGTTTATAAGTAGTACTATTTGTGAAATTGTTGAATTTTATAATCTCAAGCAAAAAGTATTGTGTATGTCTTTTGATAATGCTTCTAACAATAATGCCGCAATTTTAATATTAAAATTGCATTTGAAACCACCTCTTGATGAAATTTTTCATGTTAGGTGTGCATGTCATGTTTATAATTTAATTGTTAAAAGTGGCCTTGATTTATTTTCAACTAAGATTACTCATTCTAGAAGAGCAGCTGGTGTTATTCAAGGAAATAATAGACAATCTAGAATAAAGGAATTTAAGAATAAGTGTGTCTAGTATAACCTTAAACCCAGATTCATGCCAGACGAAATTGTTACTAGATGGAATTATACATATATACTTTTAAAATGTTGCTACAAATATAGATTCCCAATAACTGAAGTTGCTAATGCGCATTGTACTGATCCAAATCGTATGTTAACAACTACTACTTGGGAGGTCATTAATGATGTTGTTAAATTTTTACATAAATTTTATACAGCAACTGTTGAGTTTTTTGGAGCATATTACCCTATTGTTACTATGGCTTTAGTACATATAGCTGAAATTTCTTTTCTACTCTTTGAATTTAAGAAGAAAGAAAAATATGGGGATGTTGTTCAAAAAATGCAAGCAAAATTCAAAAAATATTTCTTTCCAATACCTCCGATTTACTTAATTGGTGTTGTTTTAAATCCTTCCATTAAGATGTCTGATTGTCACCAATTAATGAGTGCTTTATATACTTATATGAAAATAGGACCAACTGAAACCCAGATTTATATACTTGTATGAACAAGCTAAATGAATATTTACAACAATTATATAATTATTATGCAAATGTAATTGATGATGATGCTCTTAGTGTAGGCAATGTTAATTCCACTATGCATTGTACCACTTCTGCTACTGTGGATGATGAAGAAGTTCTTGATAGTTTTAATATTTTTCTACATTTTCTAACACTCAAACCAGTAGCAGGAACATTGATGAACTTCAATTCTACTTGTAGAAGCAAAAAGAGCCTCGCACAAAGGAATTTTCACCGTTGGGATAGTGGCATGAGAATGGAAAGCAATTTTTTGTTCTTTTCACTATGGCTCGGGATGTGCTGAATGTGCCAATTTCAACTGTTGCATCAGAGAGTGCATTTAGTTAAGCAAGACAACAACTTGGAGACACCCGTCGCTCATTGGGAATCAATGCTTTGGAAGTTTTAGTATGTTTCAGAGATTAGATTATATTGGAACGAAGAAATCAAGGACGTGAAGATGTTGATAGCACAGAAGACGAGGAACCTGGAGATATATTAACACATGGTAACCTATCCGAATTTAACACTACAGAAGAAGATTACTCAGTTCATATTGATTATGAAGAACTTACTGAGGCAATGCAAAATCTTTGAATTTACTCTTTTTTGGTTAATTTACTTGTTGTTATATCTAAACCTTTCAATTTGTAAGTTTGAATTTTGAAATAAATGTAGCACTTGCAATTTATAAGTGCAATTTTTCCCATCTTCCTTGTGTTTTTTGTATTTTTACTTTGTATTAATATAACTTATAATAGTTATACAAAATACAAAAAAAAGATTAAAAATAACACTAAACCCGGTCCGGCCTGGCCCCATCAACCCGTAACCCTTACGGTTCAATTTTTACCCGGATGAACCCGAACCCGTTAAACCCGGTATGGCCCAACCCGTAACCGGCCCGGACCATAACCCGTACGGGTACTAAAATTCCCTACCCAGCCTGGCCCGGCCCACCCGTTAAACGCCCATAGCTTTAAGTTTCACTTAGACAACAGGCTGATAAAAGTTTGGGAAACTTACACAAATGTCCCAAATAAGTTTTAACTTACCAACATCTAGCCATTAGTTATAGACTTACCAAAACTAGCCAAGCACATATAAAAACTAAAAAATTAAATAAATAAGGTTCTTTCTCTCAAAGAATCACATACTGAAATTACCTTCCATATTTTTAAGCGTGATTAGCAACATTAGATGCAAGATGGAAAGGAAATTTCATGGATGAGGTAACAAATAAGGTGATGAAACAAAAAAAAATACAATATTTCAAAAATCTAAGC